AAGCCGTAGACGCATTTGAACTGAACCATTTGTCTTCTTTATTTAACTGGGGTAACGGGATAGAAACATCAATCAACTTGGGAACAAACTTCTCCTGTTGAAGTAACGGTTCATACAGGGGCACCCAATCTTCGTCGAACGGGTTACTTGACTTCGACGCCCATGGGCCAGCCTGAACCCGTGAGGGTTCTTCGGGATCGAAGTCTTCTCTCTCAGTTGTTAGTAGAGGGGTCGTCTCCTCGAACCCTGCGTATCCCCAGGGTATGGAGGTCTCTGCCCCGGGTTGTTCCCAAGGTCCTGGCGATAACCCAGTCTCTTCAACTCCTCCAGATGCCATCTGGTCTTCTCCTCCTTCTCTCTCTCTACCCTTTTCTTCTCCTCCACTAATTTCCTACGCCACTCTCGGGTCTCTCTTTCTCCCCAATAAGAGGGCCGGACTCTAGCCTCATTCCTCCTCCTCTCTTCTGCCTCTTGTCTCGTCAGGCAGACTTGTTCCCATTTACCCGACCAGGGGTCTTGGATAGATACCCACTCCCATCCACTCTCTTCCCCTGCCGGCCGGTAACTGACTTCCCCTGCTGCTCCCTCCTCAAGGTCCTTCGTCCCCCTCCCTGCCCAGACCCGAGGAGTCTGGGTAGATATACTTAACCCCTTCACTCCCTTCTCTAAATCTCCTGTGTCCACGGACTGGTGTAACATCCAGGGTGGGAATGGCTTGGGAGCTGTCTGCGTGCCCACGGAGGCTTTGGGGCGAGACGGCACTCCTAGCATCACCTCTCTACCCGGTTCACGGGTGTCACACACCAGAATACATTAGAGTAGCACAGCTTGAAACTATGCAAACACAAAGTTCAGCTTGCAGGCAGCTGCTTGAGTACTTCTGCAAAAATACGAAGAAATTCTGTTGCTCTTGTTTGTGAAAGTTGCCTTTTCCCATTTTCAGGGATCCAGTTCTGTCCCCTCAGCCACCTGTGGTATAGTCCACACCGTTTGGGAGGGTTCAGTTATTCTCAGAGGTGGTCAGGGCTCCGAGGTGGCAGCTCGGGAAAAGATGGAAGGGGAAGCCAGTTCCCTTTTGCATGCTTTTGCTTGCATCACTCCCACTGCTTTTGTAAAGAGGGTTAACCTCTCCCCCCCCTCTGTGTGTGTGTAAGAGAGAGAGATGCACACAATATTTAAAGAGCTTTGGATAGAGTTGGATGGATTTTGTAATAGAACGATAAATGGTAGGATTACTCAAGATAGGTTAAGTAGGAAAAGCTGTTCACAGAGCATATTAATTTATTGGAATTAATACATGGTATATAATATCAAGCATTCTGTAAAGGGTTACTTTGTTTTGGAAATACAGTAATATTTCCCATGTAGATGCAGTCTAGTTTCTGAATGACCTGACGTACTTGTGTATCTTGTTATTTTCTTTTACTGAAGTTTCAGTAATGTTTATTTAAATGTTTATTTAAACAAAGGTGCTGTTCTTACTGAAATAATTTGCATATGGCTTTGTTAAGGATGGTTTGGTCAACCTTGAAGTTCCAATTTGTGTATAAAATTGAATGCTTTGCAATAGTGACATGTTTTGGACTGCAGTTCCTACAGTATAAACCTTTACCATTATGGCCAGAAGTCAGGAATTATGAGAAGTCCAAAATATTTGGTGAACACCAAATTGTCTGATTTTGCTATGAACAAATATGAAAAACCTCAAATACTGTAGATCACAGCCTCCCCTTCTGTTCTTGCCTGAGATGTTCCTGTCTTCGCAGGAGCATCAGTTAAAATATTTGCAGGAGACATTATTACCAATTACAAACCATTTTGGGCAAGCAATATCTGTCAGCATCCAGTTTCTCAGAAGCAGCAGAGCCCAATTACTGCCATATTTTTATTTGTGGGAAGAGAGATAAGTAACAAGGCTGCTGGGGAGAAGGAGAGTCTGATTTAATCCGTTGAGTTTGCCAAGCCACTACAGTCCTTCTCGTCCAAGGGAAGGATTGGCTGGTGGAATGTGGCTGCAATTTCACCTGCTCAACATGTGGTCAGATCTGTGGATGACAGCTTGCTGGGACTTTAATTCAAATTAAGCTACTATGTTACTATATATAGGCAGTTGTTATTAAATTTATTAATTATGCTGTTTTTTAAGCCTACATGTCTAGAAGTTTGTACAGTTCCATTTCAGCAGTCCAGTTAATTATTAAACAGTAAAACCATAATTAGTTTCCACCAATCATCCATCTAACAGGTATTGTCTATCCTATTAAGGGATATAGCAGAGCTGGACTTCGGAGGGCCTGAGCACAAGGAAATATTTATTAGTAAGGATGAGAACCATAGTGGTGGTATAGTGGCTTGAGTGTTGGACTGGGACTTGGGGGATCCAGGTTTACCTCCACAAAGCCATTAAGCTTACCATTCATCTAAATTTCATTTAAGTAACAAGTACACAGTTGCATATTTAAAATTGTTGTTTTGATTTGAGACAGAATTTGTGACAGCTAACAGGAGTAAAGTCTTAGGTGTAATTTTTCACTTAATTTAGGCAAGACCTCTAATGTAGCAATGTGTGTAAATTTAAATGTCAATTTAAAATTAAGTAAAACATTTAAGCAATTAATTTATCCTCTTTGAAGGAGAGAGGTAAAAATGATTAGCTCTCTGACTTTTCACACTTCTTTTGTCAGACTGTTCTGGACAATATATATCCTTAATGTAAATCTGAGGAGTAAGGTGGAAACAGAAGTACCATAGGAGCTCAGGCTTAGAACTCAGCTCCCCTCCCCTCCCTCTTTTTAAAATCCAGGCCAGAGATTTCTAAAGATTTGTCTCAGCTTGAATCCTTAGTTTTTGAGACTCAGTGGGAAGAATCCTGATGGGACTCTTCTGTTTTTGGAAGTTGTAGAGGTCTTTTTCACCTATCTTCCCTGTCCCCTTCGTGCCCACTGATCTGCTTCACAGTTGCACACATTGAATGTTCTAATCATGGAAGGTACACTTAGCATCCAAGTGACCACATCATTCTAGATGGGAATATGATTGTAGAAGATACAGTACAGCACATCTGCTGAATTTTGTGTTACTGTACAAGTTCTTTTAAAGTATAAGTCTTGTAATGACAAATACTAATACTGTAGTGAGCTTCAACCACATTTTAAGAGTATTTAATATAATAAATACTCTTTTAAAAGAGTATTTAATATATATTTAAAAGAGTATTTAATAATGTATTAAAGCAGCTTTGGTACTTTCTTAGAATGAGACATGCATGTTTTTAAGGATGTGGATGATTTGAGTAGTGCATACATTCGTAAACAAATGTGAAACACTTTGGTTTCCTTTATAGGGGCTGTGTTTTATATTATGTTAAATTTGGTTTGCAGTTGCCTGTGAAGAGCTCTTTTTCTGAATACATGTATTACAATGGCATGATAATGTGATCTGCAGTGTCCTTTATGATTCAGAATTTTTGTTTTTCAGCATTACTGGGATTTACCTCATGATTTCTTCTGTTGTGCCGTGCTGTTGCTTCCCTTACTTTTGCTTTTCTGTATTTTTGGTTCCCTGTTCCAAAAATAGATAAACAAATGTCGTCTTTCAGTCTTTTTTAATTATCAGATTTTCCATTGGCACATATTGTTGGTTTTCTAGGTACCATGGGAGCAGGATAACTTTGTGCCAGTATCTTCATGTCCTTTCGTTTCAATACAGTGTTGTAGAAATATTCTTTAGCGGACCAAAAATTAGAGGGAACATTGGTATCCAAGGTGTCTTGGATTATTCATATATAAAATTATAGAGATCTAGCAGTCTAACAGTATTTGTTTCCATGAACTGCCAAGGTTGGTGGCATGAAATGTACAGTATATGTGTGCATATAGATAGGAAAATATCTGCTTGGATTTTTGGAATTAGTTGTGTGAACTCAAGAGAGTCTTATATGTCTTTTTCTCAAAACAATAGCTCCCTTTTTCTGAAAGTGTGTGAAACACTTGGTGTTAGATTCAGACAATGTAGTGACTAGTGAGTGGTGGATTTACTGAAATCTCAAGGCAGTCCAATTTTAGAAGTTAGTAATGAATCACTTGAAATCCTATTTATTCCAATGGGACTGTGGAGCAACTACCTTAAACTTGATCAGAGGTGGGTAGTTGCCATCCTCTCCTAGATTTTAGTGGCTCATACTCATACATTTTTCTATACCAGATGTACTTGGATGGTAGCTTCTATTTTTATGTTGTTTTTTAAAATCTGTTTCAGGTCCAGAACAGGCCTTGTGATGTAGGAGAATACCCTTTAAATTCTGCCAGAAGTTTCTTGGGAAATTATTGACCAATTTTATGCCATTTTTTTCAGTATGGAAGTGTTGGGGTTCATGTCGCTTAGAGGCTGCACTGTACTGTGTGTGATGCAGTGAGTTGTTTAGTTCTGTAAAGAGAAATTTATTTTTAAAAAATTAAACACTCCTTTACATTTCATATATGATTTTTTATTATGAAACATGTGCATATTGTATGCAAATAAATAAAGATTGTGCCTTTCAAATATATAGCCATGTTATTTCTACTGGAAATGCCCAAATTCCAGTCCGAAGTTGCAGTAGAATTCTCCTCAGTTTTCTCCCTCCAGCATGATTTGGCTTACCTTATCTTGGAATGTTGGCTTCTGAGGGTCTAATCTTGACCCCAGCTTTGACTCGAAAATTTCAAAATGACTCATTTTGAGACACATTCCTAGAAATGGCTTCAGTTATGTGTGATATTAGCTTCAGCCGAGGTGTGTGTGCTCTTACTTGTTGAAGAACTTCATGTCTAGAAAGAGACTTCAAATATGCTTAGTTTAGAGTAGCATGTGTTATGTTATCCCTGTACCATGTGCTTAATTGTGAAATGCCTCAATATTTTAATAGCTCTATCAGTATATGAGGAAATCTTTTTGGTTTGTATATAGTTTTAAAATAGTCAGCTTATTTTGCTAATTCCAGGTTGTTGTTGTTTCTGTAGGCTATTGCACTTAAGAATGAACATTGAAGACAAGCTGGGAGGATTATTTATTAAATGTGGTAACATAGATCAAATGCAGTCATCCAGGGATATGGTTGGAATGGGTGCTACATCTAACCAGTCCTCAGTATCTGCGGAACGGCAAGAAGCAGTACTTCAAGACCGGGCTATGGCACATCAGGAAATGCTTTCTGCAGATGACGTGTTACGAGAAAGTGAACTTCGACAGCAAGAAATGATCCCACATGATGAACTAATGGTCCATGAAGAGACAGTGAAAAATGATGATGAGATAGAAGGACAAGAGAGACTTCCTCAAGGGCTTCAGTATGCAGTCAGTGTTCCAGTAAGTATTTTATTTTGCACATTTACATTTAGAGTTGAGGAAATCCTCGTTGTATATTCCTTTAAAAATATGGCAGATGTAGCAAAATAAAAATAAAGTGTTTCATTCATGGAGAGACAATTTTGGCAGGTAAGACCCAGTTTCTTCCTTTGGGCTCCCTGGGGGCTGGAATGACTGCCAAAAATGTCAGCAAACATTTTTTTTTAAGTGAATTGCCACTTCTGAGAATTTTCAGGAGTTATAGTTCACAGTTTTTGCGGGAAAAGTAATGGATTAGTGGGTGGTTTGAAAAAACAACCGCCTCTGATTTAGTTCCTTTGAGAAAACACAACAGATACCTTCATGGACTAAAAAGGCATAATCTCTTACCTTTGATATTGCTTGCATGATTAAAGAGTTATTCAAATGTTGACTCTTATTGTAAGCAAGGACCAGAGACTGTGACAAATTTAATAACTCTCAAAACTGCCCTGTTTCATCAATAATAATATGGTCAGTAGGTATATTTCACGGTTAGCTATTGGGAAAAAGATATGTGTAGACATCCTCTTTTAAGTTAAAAGATCTTAATCAGATCTTCTAATAATAGTCTTTACCATTTTGGGGCCATGAATTAATTTGTTACCTGTGAATTCTTGTACTTTTGAAATCGGTATCTTATATAAACATTGCTCATTAGAATTTGTTTGCCTACACATTGAGCCTGTGGTAAGTGCTTTAAATATTTTAAGTATCAATATTGCATTTGCTATGTTAATACAAGTATAGTGCTACTATAATGCAATTTATGACTTGGTTTAGTATGTAAATTCAAAAGTGGTGACATTCACACTTCTTTCTAGTGTGGTAGCCAACTTCATCTATGGTAGCATTTTTTTTAAACAGTCTCATGGCTTAAGTTTTGTTTGGCATAAGCTTTCCAGGACTGCAGCCCACTTTTATCAGATGCAGTCTGCTTGTCATCAGTTAACTCATAGTGCTGAGGAACGGCTGTTCACAGTACACTGTGAAAGTACTGTGTGTAGTGGCAATCCTTTGTTGTAAGAGAATGAGGAGAACAGCAGAAATATAAGGGTATTTCCCAAGTTATAAGACTATTTGTGATTAATTTGATTTTTTAAAACAGATTTTTGACCAGCTAAATCTAGATCTATCTATAATACTCATGAGTGATAGCTCAGTGGTTTAGGTACTGTACCTGGATGTGGAGCCAGAACTTGGGAGTTCAGTTCCCCAGTGTGCCTCCCTAACAGGGTCTGAACTTGATGATCCATAGGGGTCCTTCAAGCTCTGCAATTCTAAGATAGAATTATTGATCCTAAAGCTGAAGATGGTACCTTGTTGATACTGACTCCTTACCAGGACAAAGCCTCTGGATAGCTAAAGCAATGCTGCCTTTTAGCTAAAAATACATGTATGTTTTTGGTAACCAGAACAGTGATAAAAGGTCTATTACTGTAGAAATAGCATCTGACACTATCTTAAAGCAATTGTGTACAACTGTCAGTTGTTTTTATATCTGCTTTTATATCAGCATGATAAATAATATCATTAAATATATATCCAAGACAAAAGAATAGGATTCTAGCTCCTGTTGCTGAGCATAGCAAGAGGCACTAGAGTAGGCTCATTGAATCAGTGGGGATTTGGTGAGTCCGCTCCCCCATATGTTTGATTGATTCAAGCTACCCTACTCTAATTGCAGCTTAATATGGTGAAGTAAATTGCAACTAAAGTAGACCCATTTGAATCAATGGGACTTATGAAGGAGTTGTTCCATCAAATCCCCACTGATTCAGGGGGCCTAGTCTAGTGCAATTCACTATGCTAAGCAATAGGATTTCAGCCTGTAATTATTTTAGGGAAGTAAAATGCAATCTTTAGTTTCAGATTATTATGATAGGTTTGAGATGATTACAGTATGCTTCAATGAAAAAGAGAGAGATGGATTAAAGTGGAAAACCTCTAAACCCATAGTCCTACTGGGTATCCTTGGGAAGCCACCTATTCTTAGGCTCAATTTCTTCTATAATATGGTGCTACTAATAATATCTCTGCTTGTTATTCCAGTTATAAAAATGGAAGTTGTAAATATTTTATCTGCTGAAATGTCACTTTCAAATGTTTAATTATGTATAGTATGTAATTCAGGGAGTAAGGTTATTTGCATTTGAAATCTCCCCTTGCAAACAAAGAGAATATAAACTATCCCTTAGTATATTGGCATTGCTTTAAAAGCTCATCAAAATGTCTGTTCCCTGTAATTGACATGTTGTATTTGGTATTTTAGCAGATCAGTGTAAAACAAGAAATTACTTTTAGTGATGTAACAGAACGACAGAAAAGGGACAAAAAATTAATACGAGAAGGTTTAGATATGCAGAAGAAGAAGAAGAGGAAACAGCGTTCACCAGCAAAGGTAAGACAATCAATTTGAAATTTAAACCAACTGGAAATCATAGTATTTAGAAAGGATCAATTCAGTCACCTAACTGTAATCCCCAAGTAGAGTCAACAGTTGTTCCTGATTTCTTTGAATTTCATTTCACAGCATAAAATATTTGGTATGCTTTGAAACCTGTATCTTGGAGCAACCTGGGGAGCTTTCTCCAGTTTTTCTTTTTACAAGTTGGTAGCTTTAAAGACTACTTACCATCAATTAAGTCTGTTTAGCTGGATAACAATACAGATTCTGTAGAAGTTCCGGTACTGAGATTATTTAACTATGCTCAGAATTTTAATAGGATTCATGTAAGTTTTCCAAAACTTGCCATGCCCAATTATGGCTAATTGACAAAGTGTCAGAGTGTGTCTTGGTGGTGTGCCAGCTCATGCTGCAGGAGGGCAGCGATCCCTTATAATTCAGTGCCAGGAGTTAAATAAGTCCACTGTTGAGGACTTTATTATTTGTTCATTGAATTCGTATACTATCTTCTAGTGATAGGAGTCAAGGTGGTTCACAATCAAGTTGACTAAAAATTAAATTAAAACATAATCCAGGTTCAAACATGAAGAAATAAAAGTGCAAATGAATACATATCAAAGAAACAAAATATAGTGCCCATCTAGTTAGAGCCCCTTAGAGAGCAACAAATGCCAGAAGTCCACCTGCAGGCAGAAGGACAATAAAAAGTCGGCCAGCGTAGCCTGCTTTGGTAGGGAGAGCCACAGCCTCGCCAAAAACCTCTTTCGTGTCCTTAAAGCCTACATGAGCTTTAAGAGTTATGTTTTTCATGTTGTCTCAAAGCAAACCCTGTTGTCCTTACTTTTCTACAGCAGCATGACTGCCCCCTCCTATATCTCCGTGTGCTCTCTGTAGTTACAGTGGCTACTCCTTTCCTACTGTCTCCCTGTATTGACACATCTCATTCCCAAGGACAGACTTCCAGTGGCTAATAGGTGATTTCTTTGCATGGGAAAGGGACACATCATGGCTGACAACTGTATGTGCTGTTCATTTAGACAGACAAAACTATCTTCAACTCCATATTTGAAAGAAGACCATCAAAGCCATGGACTTAAGCATTAAGAGTGCCACTTGTTTCTTAACAAACACTTGAATGATGCCTTCAGTTTTCCAGGCTGCAGTGGCTTCTACAAGTAGCTGTTCAAGGGCCTTCTGCCTCTTTTAGTGCTGCTCAGATTCTGTTGGATACCCTTTCAGACTTGGCAATTCCTTTTAATGCAGTCTTCTTATGGATAATAACAATATTGAGCTCAATGATTGTTCTTGATCATAGAATAACAACTGCACCATCCATTCCCAATCACTTGCTAGCTTTATGCCTTAATAAGTTTAAACTAAAGAAAAAGAAGATGAAGTCTGATTCTTTTACCAAAGAACATTCAACATCTCTGGCTCCTCGCTTACACTGTGCACCTGTAGCTCCACCATAAATGGCCTCTTCCCATCTTGGAGATGTTTCAGTCAGACTTGAGTTGCAAGGGGCTTTGGCTGGTGAGAAATTGATAGAGGCATTTCCAGTCCAGATGGGGAGAACTGACACTCCTTAGTTCTCTAGGGCTTCATTACCACCCTCCAAGAATCTCCAGGCCTATGTTCTCCAGTCTCCTTTTGCTTGGAATGGAGACCTCCATACTCTCCATTCCACTCTTGGTTGGGACACTTCTTGTACCACTACTCCTCTTCTTTACCATTACTATGAATTGGAAGTCCATGGATCTGTGAATATGTCCATCCTGACATTTGTGAGCATAGAGCACTACTTTTGAGTGCTATGTCTAAGCTTCCCTCCGCTGGGATCACCAACAGCAGAGCCTCTTGGTTACAACTGTGAAGAGCCCTGAAGAACATGTTATTTTATTTATCATTGCCTGCTGATAACTACTACTGATAGTTTACAGCCCATGCTGATCTCATTTCTTGTTGCTGCAGTCTCCTCATTGGTTCCTTCACAGACTTCACTGGTAGCTTAATTTTTTTGGTCTATTGCCTGTTTCTGTGAACAATATGGCGATTCAGCTGACTGTATTTCAGCAACAGGAGATAATTTCCTGTTGCTAACCTGGTGACAAGGATGGGATCCAACTCAGTTTCCTTAGCAGATGATGCCTCAGAGAGCATTTGTCCTTTCTGTGTTCTCCTCCCCTCCTCACAGGACCAGCTTGTGGCACTTGAGTACTCTTTCCAGAAGATGTTGAGTCAATTGCTGATCCAGTGACCCAAAAGGTTAAATCTCTTTGCTTCGAAGTATGGTAGCCATTAGAGCTCCTTGCTGTAAGCTTGATACTGTAGTCCACTGGTTCTTAACCTTGAGTTACTCAGGAGTTTTGGACTGCAACTCCCAGAAGCCTTCACCACCAACTGTGCTGGCTGGGGTTTCTGGGAGTTGCAGTTCAAAAACATCCGAGTAACAAAGGTTAAGAACCACTGCTGTAGGCCATTACCTATACTACTCAGCAACCCTGGGAATGCATCTTTTGCTAAGTATGAAGTGTGCATGGCAAGCTACTAATTCTTCCTTTGAGAGAAGGATTGTGCTTTCTTAGAGTTGTAACCCTTGATCAAGCACAAATTGTCAGCATGCTTTGCCATGAAACCTTGATTGTTGCTATTGCCTGTCAGAACTCCTGAGTTATTTTGGGTGCTTCTGGTCTTCAACACCATGAAATGTGTGAGAATTGAAGACTTACTCTTTGACATCTTGCATTAATTGCCTTCACTTTATATTTAAGCTAAAAGTGGGTGGTCTTTCTTTTGTCTTCTCTGTGAGTCTACCTTGCAGTAATCTCTGCTATTCATTTCCCATTTGACTGATTATCTTTCACCATCCTACTAGAAAAGCTTTTTTTAAAAAAAGGTGAATATCTTCACTCTCAGAGTTGATCACTGGCCTCAGTATGAACCTCCTGATAGTTATTAAGGGAATTTCCTCTTCAGCATTAAAGCCTATGGTTATCACTTCTTCCAATTTGCTGTCTTGCAAAGTAGTCTTCCTTGTTGCTCAGAGGGCCAGTGTACTCTGCGTTTTGTACATGAGCCCATCTTATTTAAATTTCAGTCAGATATTTCTGCTGCTTCTTCAGGGCCTCTGTGAATGCACACAAATGGGTTTTACTGTGCCTGCGCAGGACTTCTTGGAATATTCTAGAGCTTAAAAAGATGTAATTAGTAGGACATTGCCCCGTGGCGCACATACTGTGCCCGCCCGAAATACCTCGGTTCCTTTTAACTGCCGCTGAGTTTGGACTCCTTTAGCGATTATTAGAGCTTCTTCCATTTTGATTCAACGGTTTTTGATCTTTGGCTTGCTTAACGGTTTCCTAATCTTGTCACGGACTTGGTTTTGTTGATTGTTTGATTACGGCTTTCTGATCTTTGGACTGTTTATCATTAACCGTTTTGGATCACGGACTTGGACGTTCCCCCTGTGAGGTAGCTTTTTTCCCCCTCCCCCCGTTTCCCACCTCTCTTTTATGGCATCTTTGTGTCCTTTCAAGTGGTACGTATCGTGTGCCAACAAAATTCCATTCACTGATTGCCACAATCGCTGCTTGTTTTGCCTGGGAGAGAGACATCAGACCAATTCTTGCACGGAGTGTAAGAAATTAACCAAGCTGGCCCTCAAGCTTCGCTTGCAACTACTTTGGTCGTATCTTTGGAAAAAGTCCCTGTGACCTTCCAGCCCTGTAGCTAGTCTTGCTGCCAGCCCCGCAATGGAACCTACCATTGTCCCTGCTTCTCTGTCTGAACCTTCGGTTCCATCAGCACCGACAACTTCCTCTCCCAAGACGTCCTCCAAAGCTTCCAGGCCTTCGATGTCAAAATCACCTTTGGTCTCTACCAAGGACTTCTCTCCTAAGAAAAAGAAGGACACAGTTAAACAAAATAAAGCTAAGCAGGTCTCTAAGTCTCATCGATCCCGTGAACCTCAAATGGTTCACATCTCCCTCCCCTCTCCTATATTGGAGGAGTCATTGAGGGACATTCTGGACCCAGATTCCCTTTCTGAAGCTGGAGAGGTGGGACTGCTTCCTCAGGCTCAAACCTCAGCATCGGTACCAAGCTTGTCACCATCTCATGGCCGCTCTGAGGCTGATGTTATCTCCAGCCCAGCCTTAGCCCATTCTAGCCCTATTTGTATTGGGCGGGCAATAGTGATCCAACTTTCCAACTCAGAGGCTTCGCTTTCTCAGTCTTCTCCACGGAAGCGATCTGCTAAATGGTGTCACATCTCTCCGTCCCAACAGTATGTTCAATATCGGGAGGTGATTCTTGTGCCGTGCTCATCTCAACACCACATGATTTCTGAATATGGCGAACCTCTTTATTCTGATGTGGATTGGAGTAGCAATCGACACCAATACAGGTTGAATGAGCCCGATCGCCACTATGTTGAGGATTATTATGGGCAGCCTAGGCATGTTAATTATAGATATGCCTCTCCCGCATCTTCTCAATTTCCTTCACCACCTCCTGCTCGACGTTGATATCAAGTGTACTACCAGCCCGACCCTGCAATACCGACACCGAGAAAATTCGCTTCCAGACACTGATTATCTCCATCTGAGATTCCCCCGACTGGACCCGGTACCAGTGAAACGTGCACATTTATCCTCTCTGCCACTGGCCTCAACTTCAGAACTGTAGATCCTGCTCACGTCACACTTTGGCTTCAATTCCACAAGTTTTAACCTCGGCTCACTCACTTCGGGCTTATCATTGTTCCCCTTCACGTCTTCTCTCAAGGGACTCTTCGATCTCGACAGCTTCTAAGCAGGTCATGCCAGACCCACAACTGAATCACCTGCTCTAGAGGACGAGTGTAACCTTCTTCAAAAACGTGCTATCCAGAGGGTGCCTCCCCAAGATATTCTGAACGGTTTTTACTCACGTTAGTTCACAGTTCCCAAAAAGGATGGAGACCTCCGTCCCATCTTGGACCTGCGACTTCTAAACACCTACATTCATCCGAGGCGTTTTGGCACAGTCATCCTCGAATCTGTCATCCCTCTGCTTCAGCCAAGCAATTGGTTTATGGTTATAGATCTACAGGATGTGTATTTTCATATTTCAATTCACAAGCGCCATTTCAGATGTCTCAATTTTCTTTTCATGGGTGTTGCCTACCAATTTTGTGCCTTTCCCTTCTGTCTGTCCACCGCTCCAAGGACTTTTACAAAGTGTCTGGCTCCAGTTACTGCCTGTCTTCATTTGCACCACATCACAGTATTTCTGTATATACACAATTGGTTGATAGTAGCAAGATCATACAACACAGCCCCAAGGGATTCTACCTTTGTTCTTCAGACTCTGGCAGATCTCGGCCTGCAAGTCAACTACAAAAAATCTCATCTCGAGCCTTCTCAGACCATGGATTATATTGGGGCGCATCTCGATTCCATCGCAGTCAGGGTATTTCCACCTTCAGAAAGGATACTCAAATTAAGGCGAGCCATTCGCTCCTTTCGGTGTCGCGCCATAGTCGCCGCTTACCATATGCAGGACCTGCTAGGTCTGATGGCTTCAACTACGTCTGTACTCCAACATGCACGACTGAAGATGCGGTCCTTACATGCTTGGTACCTGCCCCAGTTTGATGCTAGACCATCCTTCCAAGTGTCTACTGGTGAGCTCGCCAACTTACCTGTTGGACCTTTGTCCCTCACCTCCTGGTAGGCCGCCCATTCAGGCCTTTCTAGCTCATGGTACAGGTCACAACAGATGCCAGTCAGATAGGATGGGGTGCACACTACGGTCATTGTGAGATCCATGCTTTGTGGTCAGGCTCAGTGAGATTACTGCACATCAATCACCTAGAGTTGCTATCAGTCATCAAATCCTTCCGAGCTTTCCAATTTCTCATAGCTGATTGCGGTGTCCAGGTCATCACGGACAATATGACCACCTTGTATTATATAAACAAACAGGATGGCACCCATTCTTTAAATCTTCTATATTTAGTGATTCAGCTGTAGGAATGGTGTTACGATCACCATATCTTTCCTGTGGCTCTTCAGGTGGCTACAGAGAACAAGGTTGCAGACTGTCTGAGCCCTCTTACCACCCAAACCCATGAGTGGGCCCTCAACCATACCATTTTCTCTTGTCTCTGCAGTCGGTGGGGAACACCAGGTTTTGAAGTCTTCACCACTCAGGTCAACTCCAAATGCAGCAGGTACTGCTCTCGGGCAGGAAGAGGAGCATCTAGGCAACACTTTCATGGTGGACTGGGGCAACAGCCTTCTATATCTCTTTCCGCCCATTCCTCTCATTCAGCGAACGATAGTCAGACTCCGCCAGCTGAGCTCGGATGTCATTCTAATAGCACCATGGTGGCCTCGACAACTGTCATTCACCACTCTCAGAGTCATGGCTACTGACTTCCTGAGATTACCTCTTCTGACTCAGAATGAAGGCCAAATTTGTCATCCCGACCTTGACTCTCTACACCTTACAGTGTGGATAATTCCCCCACTGTGTCTGAAGTTCTAGATGGGGCTAGGGAGCCCTCTACTCAATTATTATATTTGTATAAGTATTCAATTTTACCCAGACATGGTTGTATTATATCCAGATGTATCCTTTCTTCCCATATGATTTCAGATTTTCATGTTAATCAACCACTAATCCTTCTAACGTTGTTTCCGAATCCCTCTTCTGATGTTGAGCACATGCTCCATTCCCTCGATGTTCGTCGTGCCTTAGCATTTTATATTTCCAGAACTGAGGAATTTCACACTTCTCCTAGACTCTTTGTATGCTTCTATGGCTCACAAAAAGGCTCTCCTACCTCCTCACACACAGTTTTGAGGTGGATTGTTTCTGGTATTACTTTAGCTTATGACTTGGCAGGCAAGACTCTGCCAGAGGTGCTAAAGGCACATTCCACGAGAGCTATGGCAACTTTTACAGCTTGGTTGCATGGCATTGAGGTCCCTGACATCTGTCGAGCGGCCACTTGGTCTACACCCTTGACTTTTGTGAAGCATTATCGGCTTGACATCAGGGCCAAGAAGGAAGCAAGTTTTGGAAGGGCTGTGCTGACTTCATTGTTGGCATGATGGCCCTCCTTCCATTAAGTGAACTTGCTATTCACCCATTTGTGTGCATTCACAGAGGCCACAAAGAGGAAAAAGAGGTTACTTACCTGTAACTTCTTCGAGTAGTCCTCTGTGAATCCACACATCCCACCCATCCTCCCCACTTGTTGTCTTGAGTTTGTTGAAGTCAGAGCCTTGACAGCAGAGGACATTCCGGAACTGAGGTATTTCGGACAGGTGGAGCATGTGCGCCATGGGGCAACAACCTACTAATTATGTCTTTTTAAGCTCTAGAATATTCCAAGGAGTCCTGCGCAGGTGCAGTAAAACTCATTTTTGTGGATTCACAGAGGACCACTTGAAGAACTATGGTTACAGTTAGGTAACCTCTCTTTCATTCACATATTTGTTTCTTCTTAAAGTTGTATTTAAATTTGAACTAAACAAATTTGTTTGTCTTCTGACCTAGAGAAGTTTTCACAAATGTTGAATGTTGGTGAAATGTTAGTTTTTCGTATGTCTCATATGGAGGAGTTACAGACGTTTTGGGACTTCTTATTTTATATCAGAGCCCCAGGTCTCCTGGTTTATCAGCAACACCTTTCAAAAATGGATTAATTGTACAGTTTTCCTTACCTGGCAGATAGCACATTTTCCTGTTCTGCTGCTGATCTTCTTTCATCAGGGCAGGACAAGGAATAAATTCTGATACACTATCATATCTAAACCCTTCTGCAGGTTTATGGCACTCCTCACATCAGAGGATACAGGGAACAGATTCTAATCCAGTCCATCATCTTTTTTTAACAACATCCCTATTTTTTTAAGTCTAGCAACTCTGAAAAGGGAAACAAAAAAGATAAGAATTTAGGATTTTATTTCTTTATTTATTTCTCTATTTTAAATATTTTACTCCGCCTTTCTCCTTAAAAGGACTCAAGGCTGCTTACATGATTAGAAAGATAATATTTAAAAATTATATGACATCCATTTTGAGGACATATGTAGAGCTGCAACCTTGTCCCAGCCATCAATCTTTGTGAAGTATTACTGTTTCAGAGGACTTCCATGCTGCTTCTTTCTTTAAAAAGGCAATCTCATCATTTAACTGTTTGTAGTAGTCTCCTTAAAAGGACTCAAGGCTGCTTACATGATTAGAAAGATAATATTTAAAAATTATATGACATCCATTTTGAGGACATATGTAGAGCTGCAACCTTGTCCCAGCCATCAATCTTTGTGAAGTATTACTGTTTCAGAGGACTTCCATGCTGCTTCTTTCTTTAAAAAGGCAATCTCATCATTTAACTGTTTGTAGTAGTTTTTTCTTATGGCACACATACTCTCCCATAAACCAGTTTTCATTTACCCATGTGTATGATACACAGAGAGCATGACAAAGAAGCCCAGGTTGCTTACCTGTAATTGTCTTAGGAGCAGAATGACTCCCACCCTGATTTACTGAAACAGAAATTACAAAGATCACAGTTTTCATTTCAGCAGTACACGCACATAAAGTTACCGAAGTACATCTCTAGTTATCAGTATTCTTGTGTGAAAACACACATTTAAAATAAATTATGACTTCCTTTAATATAAATATTAAACTTTATTTTGTATCATCTTTATAGTTTATTTTGTTGTCTGCTTTTTCCTAGATTTTGTTCAGAATATAATTATGTTATATTTTATTTGTGTGTGTGTGTGTGTGTGTGTGTGTGTGTGTGTAGGTAATATGTTACAGCAGCAGCAACAGTGTTACATCAACATACATTTGTTTTTCTGAAAATTAGTATTGTAGTGCATAGTCTAATATATTTATGACATGATTGTAATTTTTCACTGACCTTGAAAAGATGAGGTTCTGTTATGTTGCCTAAATAAATAATTGAGATTTATAAATATCTGCAGTCTCTTTTACTATTTTGCTTTGTTGCTTTGTATGAATTTTATATTCATTTGGATTTAATACGGTTCTTGAGAAATTAATGTGAGACTGAATTTTACCCTTTTAAAAATAGATTCTTACAATAAATGAGGATGGATCACTTGGTCTGAAAGCTACCAAATCTCATATTTGTGAGCATTGCAATGCTGCCTTTAGAACCAACTACCATTTACAAAGGCATGTCTTCATTCATACAGGTACTGGTTGAATTTAAATTGTGTTTTCTGTTATCTAAAGACCTTCTGGATCTTAAATATTGCACTGCATAACAGAACATAATATGTACTTTAGTTTACAAAATGCAGGAAATGTGGCATCTAAACTTAGGTATTCCATGCACCAAGGTGTCAAAAAATACCAGAAAAAATGGAATGTTCCTACAATTAAGTGTGTTGCTTCCATTACCAGGATATAATATGTTTATATGTAGCCAAATTTCTAATTTTGTCTTATTTTATAGAATAGGTTGTGGATTCTTAGTTGGCCACTGAAATATCTCTAGTTTGGTTACTGAGATTTTAAGCTCAGAATTTATGGTATCTCATATCTAGCATCCTACTTGTTGCTTTGTTCATGGGTGGCATTTGTCTCATCATTACAGGCTCACAGAATTAATAGCTAAATTTTAAATCCAGATAATTTAGATAGATTTGATTTCTGAATTCACTCAGATGCTGGATTCCAACAGCCATCTATTTTATTTCTCAACATAATTTGTTAGAAACAAATGTTTGTAGCTTTTAACTTACAGATGTGGAATTATATTGTTTAAGGTGAAAAACCATTTCAGTGCAGTCAGTGCGAGATGCGTTTCATACAGAAGTACCTGCTACAGAGACATGAGAAGATTCATACCGGTGAGTATAGTGCCTTGAGTATCTTTACTGGTATGCTTAAACAAGTGTTCCCAAAGATGGCCAAATATAAGGTGATCATGCAGACTATTTTAATATAGAAAAAATTCAGGCGTATAATTTAGCTTTGCTTCTTTCCTTTACCACACACAATTGCTTGGATCAACTGTCATGGTTATAACAATGGATTTGGGAGAAAATATATTTATTGTTGATTAAGAGATAAAGAAGAGTACTTCTAGAATGATTGTGGCCAAAATGCCTAACCCCTAGGAATTTGCACCTTATTAAGAAATGTGTACAAAAAGGTATATGAGAGAGAGGATTTAACAAAAGAAAAAAAGGTTAAGTTAAAACAAAATAGTTGTTTTCTGTGTTTATTTTAAAAGTCTGCTTCTGGAAAATCGCATTCTGTAAACAGGCTTTGATTTAATGGGTTTTTGGCATTTTGGTGCATGGTCTTTCATTACCTTCATAAAGATTTAGAAATATGATCCTTGTGTATTTCTAGATGCCAGTTTTCAGCCTCTTTTTCAGAATTTGCAAATATGCTGACTGTTGCTTGGTGAGTGGATTTGCACCTACTCATTACTAATGATCAGTACTGTTCAGTGTGTGTGTGTGTGCATCTTGAGAAATCAAAGCACAAGAGAGTACTGCTTTCACAGGAGAGGTACATACCTAAGTGCTCTGGTATTCTTGGAATGTTTGCACCTTAAGCCCTATCCAGTTGTTCTTAAAACGTTTGTTTCCCATATACGATGAGGGAAGTGTTCTAGCCTCACCCCTCTACCTAGCCATCCTGTAGGGGAGGAAGTACCTAGGGGAGGTTTATGATGATGGGTTTAGTTTGTTGATAAAATAGTGGAAACTAAAAAGTATTAGTTATACAGACTAATTGGAAAGATGGAAATGGCCTCCGAAAAATTAAAATATCAACTGTTGGGGACTTTGTCAGATAAAGAATGGCAGGTTACCATGCAAATGATAATAATAACAGGATTTCAGCAGGTAAATGAGCGCCTCAGCCAGATGGAAGATTTGATGAGGGAGAAGTCATCAGATGTTAAAGAACAGTTAAATGAAACTGTATTAACTCCAGAACTGTTTTTATTGAGTGCAATGCCAGGTGACATAGATGGGATAAAGAGTTACCCAGTGAGCTATTTAGCTACAACAGTCAGAAAATGTGATGTTAAAAATCAGATTACTGTCCTGGATTCATCCCTTTCTTCCAAAAACTGGAAGAAAACAGCCACGGAAACAAGAGAAGCATACTGAGAAAATATGGGAACTAACAAAAATGGATACTTTTTCAGGCATGCTGAATGTATGTCTAAGAAGGAAATTAAAAGAGGGGATGTATTTTACAATTGGTTTCCTGATAGTGTTGGAGTAACTTAGATTTAAACTAAAACATAAATGTAGGTTGATAGCTAGAGGGTAATCAAACAGTTTTTTAAAAAGTAGAAAGTTGATTTTTTTATTGAAAAATGAATCAATTGGCTGCTTCTATACTTAATATGAATAGATTGGATGATTGTATATTCTGTGTTCTCCTATCCTTAAAACCTTTTCCCCATCCCTTCCATTTCCTTTTACCTTTTGTATTCCTACCCTATTCCTAGTAGTTTAAAAACTACTTCAGACTTCTGCTTTCGCAGGTTGAAAGCAACAAGGGAAAGGGAAGAGGCTAGCATGCTCTCCTCATCCTGTATGGGGAATATATACTTTAGGAAAGACTGAATATGATTAGAGCCTTAGCAGTGCCTGAATGTGCATTTTGGCTTTTATTTAACTGTCTCTTCACGGCCATGCTTCCCCACTTTTATTCTTATATTGCTCCCTGCTGCTGTCTGTCTGTCAGTCTGTCAGACTGATAGATAGACAGGCCCCGCTGCTGTTCTTCAGTATTGTTGCTTACAGAGGGAAATCAATTTAATTTTATAATAATGATAATCCTAAGCACATTTTCACATATAATGCTTATGTATCGTGCACTTACTGCACCTGCAAATTGAATTAAATACTTAAGGTAGACAGAGTGGAAATTTCCAGTGCATTAGCAACATGCAGAAGTGAGGCATATGAGGGTGAAATAAGTTGACAGTGTGACTTGCAGAAAATACCGTAGGATCTGATACGTTAATAACGATTAGTTTTCATGTATAATCTCATGTAATTTACACAATGTACCAGAATATTTCTTTTCCTGATAAAGAGAAGGAAAGATGGTTGTTGTGGGTTTTTCAGGCTCTTTGGCTGTGTTCTGAAGGTTGTTCTTCCTAATGTTTCGTCATTCTCTGTCACTGGCATCTTCAGAGGACAGCACTCTGCGCTCTGGTGTAGTTGGCTTGGGAGCAGAGTATTTATGGCTGTGAGATAGGCTTTTGTCTTTTTCTGTAGATGGGTGATTAGTGTATATTATTGTGGGTGTATTGTTGTGTTAAGGAGAAGAGATTATCTGTTCCTGTGGTTGATGGGTGTCATTAGCCGGTCTTTTGTGTGTAGTGATCCCCGGTCCTTGTGGCTGGGTAGAGTTTGTTGACCTTTTACACGCTGTATTTTTTAGAGCTGGGAGCCAAGTTTTATTGAGTTTCAAACTTTCCTCTTTTTGTTGAAGTTCTGCTGGTGCTTGCGGATTTCAATGCCTTCCCTGTGCGGTCTGACGTAATGATTGCTGGGGTTGTCCAGTATTTCAGTATTTCGAAATGGAATTTCATGTCCAGTTTGTTTTAGGGCATGTTCAACTACTGCAGATTTTTCTGATTGTTTTAGACTGCAGTGTCTCTCATGTTCTTTGATTCTGGTGCGGATGCTTTGTTTTGTGGTTCCAATATGCCTGGCCACAACTGGAAGGTATCCGGTATACTCCTGCAGTGGTGAGGGGGTCCCTTCTGTCCTTTGCTGACCGTAACATTTGTTGTATTTTTGTGGTGGGCTTGACTACTGTTTGTAGGTTGCGGTTTTTCAAAAGTTTCCCCATGCGGTTCATGACCCCTTTGATGTATGGCAGAAATACTTTATTTGTGGGTGGCTGTTTTTCTTCTTCAGTTTGGTGTTGTTTTCTTGGTTCGATAGCTCTTGTGATTTGATTTTTGGAGTAGCCATTTGCCTGCAGGGCCCAATTCAGATGGTTGAGCTCAGTGCTGAGAAACTGAGCTTCACAGTTCCGATTTGCACGGTCTACCAGTGTTTTGATTATGCCTCTTTTTTGCTGTGGGCGGTGGTTGGAGTTTTTGTGTAAGTACCGGTCTATGTGGATGGGTTTTCTGTAGACCTTGTGTCCCAGTTGGTGGTCAGTTTTTCGTAGGACCATGACATCTAAGAACGGGAGTTGGTCCTCTATTTCTTTTTCCATGGTGAATTGTATATTTGGGTGGATGCTGTTGAGATGGTTGAGAAATTCTTCCAGTTTTTCTTCACTGTGGCTCCAAATTGCAAAGGTGTCATCCACATATAGGAACCAGACTGTGGGTGCGAGGGGTGCCAAATCCAGGGCAAGTTTTTCGAAATGCTCCATGTAGAAGTTTGCTATAAGTGGGCTGAGGGGGCTCACCATGGCCACTCCATCTGTCTGTTCATAGGAAAGAAGGAAAGATGTTTGCACGGGAAAGGAGATGGTAGTGAAGTTGATGGGATCCAGGGTTTGCAAGACTGATTATGTGTTCGCAACAGAGCAAGTCTGATGGAATTGGTGAAAGGGAGAGCTAAGGAGGAGAGACTTGTTTTAATAATGAAAGGAAATAGCATTTCTGTAATGTGTTACATGAACCTCGGTACAACATGCAAGACACCTTTAGACTGTTGCCATAATTGTTCTTCAGTCTTTTCCAGCATTTGATTGGGTTTTTTTTAAATGCTTGAAATTTCAGAAATGATTTCAAAATGGTTGTCAGGTTAACATCCTCTAAAAGAGAAAATATTCATAGAAGTAATTTATTGTCAGTATTTGTCATTTTTAAATTCCAGAACTCTTTAGCTTTTTTTGGAGTTGGAGTTTATTACCGTGTTTCCCTGAAAATAAGTCAGGGTCTTATATTAATTTTTGCTCCAAAAACGCACTGAGGCTTATTTTCAGGAGATGTTTTATTTTTTTCATGTACAACAATCTACATTTATTCAAATATAGTCATGTCATCTTCTGGTTGCTGCACAGTGGTGGAGGGCGGGGATTACTTAACTGGGGCTTATTTTGGGGGGTAGGGCTTATATTACGAGCATCCTGAAAAATCCTACTAGGGCTTATTTTCAGGTTAGATCTTATTTTTTGGAAAAACAGTACCAGCCAGTGCACCACCATCCTTTTGTTGGTCATGGAGAGGACAACCAACGTATATTATTTTGTCCTCACGGAATCCCATCTCTCTCCCCCCCAAACATTCCTTCTTTCTAGATTCTAACTTACCACTCATTTGATAGTAGAAGCAGAAGTCATGGGTTTTAGAAATATGACTTCTTGCAATTAAGCATAGTGTGTCACAGTTAAAGACTTATTCTTCTTGTTCCTTTTCCTCTTTGGCTTGTTTAAGTCTTGAAAAGCTGTTTGTGAGAGAGCTTTGTAAGTATGCCAGATCTGCTTAGATAACGCTTGTTGATTGAGAAAACATTTTCTTTAGAGAAACCACATGAAAGTGTGTATTTCTTACTGGTGTCTTGTGATCCAGAGTATGAATGTCATTGTGAAAGCAGGGTATTTAACCTTGAAATTAATATTGTATCCTGGATAGACACGAAGCACCAATTCACTTGTGAATTGGTGTCCATGTACACAAAGTGGAACTAAACGTTGTTAGGTGAGAAAACACTATCAGAAGCATAAACACTCATGAAATGTTACTCTTGGGAAGACGTCTTAGGCAAATTTTTGTACTTCTGACATCTTGTTGTAACTTACTTGATAAAAACTAATTTTCTCTAGATTCAAGCTTATTTTCCATCTAAGTGGGTTTTTTTGGGGTGGTGGGGAAGATACCATCTGTACTTTACACATCTGGGTAATCTCCAGTAGAAGTGTAGAATTTGATTGTACAAACAGTAACACCACAGGCCTCTGCATGTCTACCCAGGCACAAGTTGCATTGAAATTGATGTCCTTATTTCCAAGTAAATAAGGATTGCAGCCAATGTGAAGAACATACTTTTATTATATTTCCAAAAATGTCCCTTGAGCTGGTATATATTTTGTAGCCTTCCTATATGCTGGCTGTGACATAACTGGAAATGAGATTACATGGCAGGTGAACTGTAAGTTTCAAGTTGTAAGAGAGTAAGATTATGGAGAGAGCATTTCCTGAAATAGTTCACTTCATGTAATGTAAGCTTAGGCTTGTATACCTTGTGATTCACTGGGTATATATTATGGCCTGACATGAGCCTGAAGCCCTGCTATTTTGTCCTTCCTAGATAGGCAGAAAAATACTTTAGTTTCTTGCACATTTGGTAGATTAGATGAAGCTGATACTGCATTTTTCTGTCACAAGAGCAAGTAAGCATAAGCCTCAGGCTTGTGTACCCCTTCCTATCCTTCCCATTTTATGGCAAATTGAAGCTTCATCTCATAGCTTTTCAGGATCAAACAGTAACTTATAGTCCTGGTTTGCAGGTACACTATGAATGAATACAGGCTGCCAACTTCTAACATATCATAAACATTTATACCATGTGGTTGTTTGGCCCAGTTGTATTTTTGTGAATACAATATGATTTATTTTCTACCACATGTTCTTATCTGCCATAAAGGCTAGGTTACTAATAAAATGGTAAATTGCTCCCACATTTATCATTTAGTAAGTTGCTTGTCTGTATTACTGATCTGTGTCTGCTGACATTGAGTTGGAAGGCAGTCCTCCAAACTAGGATTTCATGACTCAGGTGTTTTCCGAATGGTTTACCTTGTCTGCCTGATTCTTCTCTATGCTTTTTGGATTATAGATAGCTATTTAAATACTTAGATGTTTGCAATTATCATTTAGAAATGTGTACTTAAATTTTGTGTTCTTAAGGATTTTTTGTATGAAAAAGTGATCATAATTCTGAAACCAATAGTTTGAAGGAACTGAATAGAGTGTGGATAAATATGATTGGTCTTAATTTTAAAGTGAAATTTTAGGACTGTTATGAACTATTACAACTATTATAATTACATATTGAAAAAAGCAGTCTAAAATGTTATACCTTAAAATCTTGAAAACTGTGAAGTTTCCTTATAAAACTAAGGAAAGGAGAGTAATCATCTAATTTCCATAATAATTTTTCTCAACTCAAATACAAATTAGATGTTGTATTATTTATTTCAAACAAAGAATTAGGGGATGCTGATAGAAATATTAGAAGGGAAAGTTCGAATTGCTGTCTTCCTCCATAGTACTGTATTTTTCGCTCCATAAGACGCACCTAACTATGAGACGCACCTAATTTTAGAGGGAGGAAAACAAGAAAAAAAAAACTTCTGTCACACCTCACTGTCTGGGCGGCGCTGCGGTGTCTCCTCCGTGGCCTGGGTGGCGGCGGGAACCATAGCCCAAGTAGTAATCGTGGGTCCCCACTCTTGTTTATTGTTACTTGGTTTCCCCCCTACACACCCTTATTTTGGGGGGAGTGCAGAAGAGACATCTCAGCCAGTCCCTGACAGGCGTCCTGGGAAACAGAAGA